TGTACGCATACCCGAAACGAGACGATGAAATCACGAGTGGAAGTTCAGCAGAACGGTAGATGAAGAGCATATGCGTAGAGGAAAGGTCGCGGCTGCCAAAAGGGGGCAAAACTGGTACTTATTAAAACAGTGCGAATGCTGAGAATAGGCTCATGAATGTCCGAAGATTGAAGAGTAGTCAAAATTGGTCTATCCTCATTACCGTCATGAGTGATATAATGGATAACTTCGAAGAGTTTGATAAGGTATAATAGCAGGGCTAAAACATAGTTAAGAGATCACCGTGCTCAGCTTCGCGTTAAAGATAACAGAAGACACTCCTCCGTAGACAACTCCACCGCCACCTACCATAGCGTTAGGGCCACAGCAGGAGACTCCTTTCTGAAATTCGAAACAAATTTCAGAGGGACAGTTAAGATCCAAATCGTATTTAAAATTACCGTTATAAATGTACAGATGTTGGACAGATGTATAGCAAGGTAACAAGACTTAGAGCCCAAATGTGATAATAGATGTTCCCTGAAAAATCAAATAAATGTAGAACTTGAGAAACTTGAGCACTGTTTCGGTCATGCGATTGGACCACACCATACAGTTATTTTTGAATAAATATTCGTTTGACCGACACCTGAGAAAGTTTCTTTAGCAGTTCTCATAAAAAGGTCAAGGAAATGAGATCCAGCCGTCTGTACTTCCACCTGCCACCAGCACCCAGCACTATCACTCCATGCACTTCACCAGCATATAGAAGAACCTTCTACTCGTGCAGTCCCGGTTTTGGCGGCGTAGATTCCGTTACTCAGCAAATGACGCTTACTATTGTGATTTAAGTAGTGTACTTATTTCTCGCCCCCAGCGACCAGGTTGATTCATTCCTTAAACAGGATAAAAAAGACATCAATGTTAGTTCATCCGCCTTTCAGTGTTGGGATTCGAAGCAAGCATCAATCTAGGCGGTGGCATGGTAGCCCCATAGCTCTTTATGGTGTAGATTCATTCGGCTGCCTCGTTCGGCTGGAGCCCATGTGATACTTGTGAATAGAGAGAAAGCAGATTAGACATTTAATGAGAATTTTCACAGTTTCCTGGTCTCGAAACAAGTTTAAAGAAGAGTGTGAAGGGTAAAAGAAATGTCACTGGAAGAATTCTCAAATATTGAAATCCTTAAGAACACCGGAATGGATTTGCGAATAAGAAGTTCGTCAAACCCAAATAAAGAAGCAAATTGCAACGTAAGAATTCAAAATTCCACTGTATTGAATTCCACATTTTCAACCTTAACATACAGGGTGGCCGAAAAGTATAGGACGCCATGTTTTTGTGTGTAAAAGCCAAGAAAGAGACTCGATCAGGAAACCGACTTCACACAAAGATAGAGTTAAGCTATTTGATCACTTGTGCAGAAGGTGCTTTGAATTTGACGACTCTGCTTTGAGAGAGGCCTTCTGACGTCCAACGACAAAATCAGCAGTGCGCCGCAGGTAGCCAACGGCGATGTCGTCCCACCTCTTCTGAAGCGCTAACTTCAGAGCACCCACCGAGCTGGAGAAGTCTTATGAGGTCTTGCTCTACAACATCCTCACATAGAGGAGTCCATCGGGTTAAGGGCCTGAGAGGAAGAAGGTCACAATTCCTTGCTCCAGTGGCCGCGGGGTTGAGCACCCAGGA